CCCACACCAAATTGGCCAATCATGGAGATGTCAGTGCCTGCCTGCAAAGTCTCCATGAAGGCCTTGGTACCCAACTTGACTATGGTGCTGAGGTTATTGATCAAATTGGCCTTGGTCATTCCAATCCCAGTATCCATGATGGTGAGGGTGCGATCTTGCTCGTTCAGAATGAGGTTAATGTGCTTGTTCAGAATGAGGTTAATTCCTGCTGGAGTCAAGCTTACTGGAATCTGTCAGGCTTTCATACCTGATTTTGTCCAAAGCATCAGACGAATTGGAAATTAACTCCCTCAGGAAGATCTCTTTGAGTAAAAGATGCTGATGATCAGGAGTGTCAACTGTGTGATTTCTGCCTAGAAGGCGAAGTTCTCCACCTCCTCCTTCTCCATGGGCTGACCTGGGTCTGGGACCTTGGCTGAGTAGTGTGACAACTGACACAGTAACTGCTTCTAGATGCTGAAGCAACTCGGAACTTATACTTTCTGCGCACATCTTAGACTGAGTAACCCTTAAGTCACCTCCTCTGATCGTGGTCTTGGAAATTTAATGATCCTGTCAAACTTTGCTGTGTTTAGACTATAAAACAATACTGATGGAAAAATCTTCCACTCAGAAAACAGCCAGGTGAGATTAATTAATTCTGCTTTAGAACTTTGAAGTAGCAGCAGTTTTAGGTCACCAAAGGATTAAGTAAACATCTAGATGGAACCAGCTATGAACTAAATTGTTTCAAATTCCTAAACTGATAGAAATGTTGAAAGTATTTCCATTTTGTCAACAAATTGGCTCTAAAAGGAGCCAGGTAGGGCCATGGTACTATATCAGCGATGAACACGAACTCCTGGGCATCTATCCTAACATGGAGTTGAGAATTTTCTACTTGATTCCTTCTTTCAAGGCAACCATGGCACCAATGTGGGTCATGTAGGAACACTTAGAGTTTGCACATCATGTGAAGAGGAAGCCTGAAGTGTTTCACACATAACAGTATAGAGACCATATGTCAAACATTTCTGGTTTTGAAATCTTACTGGCTTTTTAACCTGCCTTTCACTTTTGTAATAGCTCTTTTCTTTATTTCTCCATCTTGCAATGTTATTTTATTTTCAAATTAGATTTTATCAACAAATTTTAGATATACTGTCACACTCATCACAGAGAATTTGTACCTGTACATGATATAATTTGTTTATTTCCCTATTCCTCTAACCTCTCTTCAACTCCTCCTCCCCTCCCCATTTACAAAGCTTTGTTTCTATGTTTTCCTTCTTTTCTTATTGTAATAGATCTTTCCTTCCACCTTCCCATTCCTTTTCCCATTTCTCCACCCCCATATCATGGAAAATAAACAAATAGGTTTTTCTTCTTTCATAGAAAATAATTTAGCTTTGTGTTGTCTTCTGAAATACAATTTCTTGTTTCTTTCCCTTTAGTACAGGGTCTAGAGGGTCTTAGTACCCCAATCAGACTCTTAGTGATCCTCCTGTTTTAAGCCTCCCAAGCACTGGGATTATAGGTGTGCGCCACCTCACCCAGTCTCAATCACCATCTCAGTGCACCCTGGTGGCAGGGATGGCATGGCACATGGGGCAGAAGGGGGTCGATCAACCCCCAATCCCTGTGTCTACCTAAGCAGGCGCTTTAATCCCTATGCTATCAGGCAGGCCCCAATTTCTTGTTTTTAATAATTTGTCAAAGTGTTCTCTTAAAAAGTAGTTCTGTTTTGAAAAGACTATTAGTATAAAGACTAAGCTGAATAAATAACCCACTCATTACATTTGCCTTTGGTTCTATAAATACTAAGATTCTAACCTACTGGATTGCCCGAAATGTCCTCCTTTGTGCATATGTATGAAGACATGCTTTTCATAAAGCATCATACTAATAAATGTAAGAGGGGGTGAATCTATGGCTCTGTTTGTCTTCAAACTTTATGCTTAAACTTAATTCCCCAGTATATCACTTTTCATTTATTTCTTATTCCTGTTACTACCACAGTGAGGTTGCAAATTTGGATATTCTGTTTTCTGAAAGTTAGTTGAATATATTTTCACTGATCTGTGTTTATGTACGGACATAAATACTGGACATGGCTGTGTAGTACGCCTTAGGGAAATGGTGAGCTGATAGTGTATGGGTGGAGAATCCAGGAGACACATCACTGATGAATATGTAGCCGCTTGAAGTAAGTGCAGTCAAGGCAAGAGTGTCCTTCCCACTAAGCTGTTGCTGAACTGAGTGTAGCTCATGTTCTTTTCAGATCTTTCAGCTAACAACTAAGGACGGTCTAGAGCTTTTGTCTGTGGTCAACTGATCTAGAATCCAACTGGCCTTATCTCATGGGTGCAGGCTCTTTCTTTCTCAGTGACTGAGTTCTTCAACTTCGTCAAGTCAAATGTTTTAACTTAAATGATTTTAATTTAAACATTTGAAAATCACATTTCTGAGTTTTATAAAGCATTTCATCAGATTGGAATGTAGAGAAATGTCCCCTTTCACTGATACGTAACTAAAACTTTTGCTTTTGGCAAGATTGTTCTTTACTGTAAGAAATATGACACAAATCCAAGGGTTAAAGGAAAGATAGATTTAGAAATATTCCTACAAATGAAGTGAAATCCTTCTTCTGGGTTACTTTTTTATAACAATTTCTCTTGTTAAACAAATTGTCAAATCCTGCTATAGCTAGGCACAAATTAATTATACAAAGTTGCTTCTTTCTTGTGTGAGCGGCAAATCTATCAAATCATATTGCTCTGCTTTTCTTTTAGCCACTTTATCCAGTAACTCAGAAAAACTATAAACTCAGCCAACCTTCAGCTTTCATTTTGATTCTCTATATACTTAGCACATGCTTTAGAAGGCACCATGTAGGGAAAAGATGTTGTTTTTCTAACTTTTCTAAAAGTTGTCTGGAACCAGAAGAGACCTAGAACAGCAAAAGCAATCCTGGGCAAAAACAGACCTGAGGATCAACAGAACAGATTAGAAGATGCAGACACAACTACAAACACACTTAGCCACCTTATCTTTAATGAAAAGGCCAAACATATTCACTGGAAGATAGCTTCTTTAACAAATGGTGCTGCAAAAACTGGCTTTCCACATGCTGAAGGTTAAACACAGACCTATGCCTATCACAATGCACAAAACTGCAGTCAAAATGGATCAAAGATTTAAATATTAAAACTGAAACATTAAATCTCCTGAAGAGTCCAGGTGTGGTGGCACACACCTATAATCCCAGCACTAGGGAGGCAGAAAGCAGGAGGATCACTATGAGTCCAAGCTGCATAGTGAGACTTTGCAAAACACAACAAAACAAACCAAACACAAAAAACAAAAAACTAAATCTTGTGAAGGAGAAAGTAAGTAGAAATCTTAAGGACATAGGGGTAGGTAGAGAGTTTATGGACAAAAATGAGACTACACGGGAAATACTTCAAAGAATCAACAATTGGAATCTCATCTCTCTCTTTTTTTTTTTTTTTTGGGAAGGGTGTACCAGGTATTCAGGGTCTCACTACTAGATCGGACTTGTAGTGATGTGTCTGTTTACAGCCTCCCAAAAGCTGGGATTACAGATATGTGCCGCCACCACACCCAGTCTCAATTGCTGTCTCAGTGCACCCTGGGGATGGGGCCTGCACAAGGGATCTCATCTCTTTGAAAAGTTTCTGCACACCAAAAGAAATTACCAACAGAGTAAAAAGAAAACCCACAAATTTGGAAAAAATTATAGCCAACTGTCCCTCAGATAAAGGACTCCTATCTAGAAGATATCAAAAAAAATTTAAAAAAATCAGGCCTCTAAAATTCAAAGATCCAACTCAAAAAATGGGCATTTGAGATGAATATATACTTCACAAGTGAAGAGATACAAATCTTATTTGAAGATTTCCAATAAATATATGAAAAATGTTCAAAATCATTGATCATTCAGGACATGTAAATTAAAACAATACTGAGATACCATCTTAGGCCAGAAAGAACAGATATCATCAAGAAGTTAACTAATAACATATGCTGGAGAGGCTGTGGGGAAAAAGGAACTCTTCTTCACTGTTGGTAGGAGTGAGGCTGGTACAATCATGGAAATCAGTACGAAGATTCCTCAAAAAGCAAGGATTGGCGGTCCCATTCAAGCCAGCTATTCCCCTCCTAGATATTTTTCCAAAAGTACTAAAACCATCATACCTAATGATATTTGTACACCCATATTTATAGCAGCACAATTTGTCATAGCTAAATCTTGAAAACAACCCAAATGCCCATCAACTAAGAAACGGATGGAAAAGATGTGGCATTTTTATACACTGGCAATATTGCTCATCTATGAAGAAGATAAATTTTAGGCTTTTGTATATAAATCGATGCAGGTAGAGGCTATATTGGTAAATGAAATAAATCAGACCCATATGTGCAAACATCGTATTGTCTCACTAGTGTGAGAACCTGAAAGAGTAAATAAAATCTGAAAGGTACAATAGATGCTGTGAAAGGAAAAGAATTTGTTCAATGGGAAAGAAAAAGTGGCATGAGGAAAAGGACAAAAGAAAGAAGGGGAAAAGATCCATTATGCATACATGCAGGTTAATTTGGATAATTATACTGCTGATTTCTGGTAGTCTTTTAGAAGGAGCAGTTAATGCTTAGATTTTTTTCTTTTCAATTTCTTACAACTTATTGTCTTTTTTTTTTTTTATCCAAGTTTTCAGGTTTATAGCTGGTAAGCTAAACAACTAATTTCAAGACAACATCATGCGATACAGCAACAATTGTTGAAATCCTATTATTTTTTTAAGTGAAATTTTATATATTTCTGATGCTTTTTGTTTTTAGTATTTTGTATTTCTTAAAAAATAATAAAAATTAAAAATAATAAAAAATAAGATGTTTTTCTCCTTTTACTTAATTAAATTAATTCAATTCAGTTCATTTTCTTTTTCATCAACAAATATTTATTAAGCACCTACAATATGCCAGGCACTGTGCTGGGTGCTGGGGATACAACTGTGAACGAGATAGACACAGTCCCTGCCCTCAAGGAGCGTACAGTCTAGTAGTTTTACAGACAAGTACACAGGCAATTACAATGCAGTATGGTGAGTGCCGTGATGGGGAAAGAACATTAAGAATGGCACCTAACTCAGTCTCTTAGGCAAGGGGTAGTGTATGCTCAGAAATCCTCCCAGGGCTAGTAAAATTTGAGTACTGAAGGATGAGTCTAAGTTAGTCAGATACAGAGGAGACAAGGACTTGTTATGGACTGCAGAAAAGTAATATGCAGTGTCTCATGTGCTGCTTTGGGGGATTCTCTGCTGGCAGGAGAAGTTGGGTAGGAGTAGAGAAGTCCTTGAGCGGATAAACAGGGGCAACGTCATGAAGAGAATCAGGGAATCGTTTGCTCTTCTCAAGAACCTGGAAGTTGTCCTGAGCGAACGGTGAGGGTGTGTACATCATCTGATAAATGTTTAAGAATGTTCTTACTGCAGCACAGAGATGGAATGAGGGCTCAGGGAGAGCAAATTAATCCTTGACCGTCTCCGGATTATCTTCCCTGGTGCTTACCCCTTGCTCTTATCAGCCAAGCTAACTGTACCTTCTTTTGCAAGCCATGAGCACCCAGCACGCTAAGCATTCATTGCTCAGCTGTTGGCCTCTTACCCCTCGTCCTAGGAAAACTCAACTCATCCCTCATGGTCAGACTTCTGGAATCATCTTAACTTGTGCTTTCTGCCAAGATCCCTAAGTATGTGATTTATATTCATAGTAGAGTACTTACTTATTTCTAATGAACTAAGCCTTCTTTGGAACCATGTTCATTTACTCCAACACAACAATATAAATTTTTATATAAATAAGATGTAAAATAAAATTTTCTTCATATAAGGGCTAAGTCTTCATTCGTGGTCTACTCCAGACTACTCTCAGGGCCTCGGAGGATTTAAATGGGACAGTACAAATGGGGGGAGAAGCTGACCTCACACATGATTCTATGCAGGGAAATACAGTGAAGTGAAATTTCCACACACAGTGACAGGGCACGTTACTGCTCAGACAGCAATTCATTCCAGGACTCAAACATCCATCTTCGACAATTTAACCTTCTCACAAGTGAAAGATCTATAAAATAGGGGTAGCTTAGTATGCAAAAATAATAAGGATTAGCAACATTTTCCCCATAAGGTCCACCACGTCACTTCTATAATCTCTTGTATACTCTTACAATTTCTCAAATAACTTTAATTGTACGAAAAAAACAAAAACCCTTTTAAGCTCTGTAGACGTTGTAAGAACATCTGATGTTTTATTCTTTTTGGTGGGTACAAAAACCACAATTTTGTACACAGCACAAGATTATAAATAATATTGATCATATGAGTGACCCGTAGTCTCTTGATTCCACATTGCAGACTGATTATTTAACGTCAACACTTTCTTCGTTTTGTTTTTGTTTCTGGTAGTGAGACAAATGCAATCTGTGAACCAGCTCATGTGACAGAGTGAAGGTTACAGCAAACGAGGAGACGACCAACAACTTTTATAGAAAAAAGTCTCTAAAGTTTATTACAGTGGTGGTGTTTATATCAATTATTGCAATGTAGTGTTCCCTAAGATGGTTAGAAAAAAGAATTGTGTTGTCCTCTACTGAATTTACATCAGTTAAAAAGCAAGCATGTTTCGGTATTTGTTTCTCCAAAGTAAGTGTAAATACTTCCTTTAAGTTTTTTTTTTTTTTTTTTTCTTCACAGGATTTACATGTTTATTTATTATTTTCTCATCACAGTTTAGTGATTTGTTTTCTCAGCTGGATATTCTTCCACTGGCTATCTGGGTGTTCTGGAGACACAGGTTAGCGCGTCCCTTCACTTCTAGAACTATCTTATCCTTTTGGTGAAGGCAAAGGCCTTTCTGAGGGAGAACGTCACCGCTTAATGCGCTAACTGGCAAGTCGGATTAGTTTTTAAGTCCACTCGAGTGAGATTTGTTGCTGTTAATACACCCATCCCAGCTGCCCCACCCTCTCCCCCAAAAACTGAAATTGTGAGTTTTCCTGATATAAAATCTGAGCTTGGGTTTCCGAGCTGAGCTCATGCACTCGTTCTGCGGCCGGCGGCCCCGCTCCAGGACGCGCTGCCCGCTCGGGGGCCGGGGCTGGCGCTGGGCGAGGCCCGGGGGCTGCGCGTCCCTCCGTCACCAACACAGTTTAATTAAGGCACTCGATTATTTTTTTGGTTTTTATGGTAGGTCCGACGCAATGACAGCCAATCCTGAACTTTGTCTGATCGCAGTTCCAGCGTGCACGGCCTTGGGGCAGTCGGGCGTCAGCACGCGGCCGTTTTCCCCCACGCTCCCCGTGATGGACAGTCTGGCTTTGTTTCTTATGGCTTCAGAAAAGGTCAGCTGGGTTGCATGGAAAGAAAGCAGAGAGAGCGCGGGGCGTTAGAGCATTTCTGTTTGTCCCCCAGCATGGGACACAGCAAACACAGAAATATCAATAAGTAGACATCTGCATTTTTTTTTTTTTTTTTTCGTATTCTTTTGGTCAGAGGCAAGCTGCTTATGAAGGAGTGAAAAGCTCACTACGCTGAAGAATTAATCAGCCTAGAGTTTATGCTCCCACCTATTTTAAAGTTATTTTCCCAATTGTAAGAGCAGGATTTGTTTACTCAATCTGGGCAGGAAACATCTCTTCACTTGCTGCTTGGTGCACTAGGATTTCTAGTGTCACTGAGGAGCTTCTTAATGTTTGAGACCGTTCTTTGACTTATATTTTTCTTGATAGATAATATATACTTTGTAGTGCCAGGATGACACCCCTAGAATTGAGAAGCGGCCTACACAAACTGCATGTATGAACCCTGAAGGCTTTCACACACAGAGCTGTGCAAGGCAGGCACTTCCAGTCATCCGCACGGGGCATAGACAGGACCCATAACAGTCCAGCCAGCGACCGGCAGTTCATCCTGCGCCTCTTCTGGAGGTGCTGAGCATGTTTTAAGAATTGTGCTTGAACACGGTACACGGAAGGAGGCACATGGAAAGGGGATCTGCTTCGAAACCTACTGAGCGCTTATTAATGGGAAACTTCCCAACAGAGGCTCTTGAGTTAAAATCTCTGAACTCTCCATTAAATTCCTATTCCCTGACTTGAAAGATAGCAGACAATATTGCATAAAAGAAAAGTAGGCACTGCTATTATTTAAATTTATCTACTGTTCATTCATTGTCTTTAAATTCTTGCAAGTAGCTGAATTCTAAAGTTAATGGAAAAATAAGGCAAAGGAGCGTTTGTCTCACAACTCAGGGTGCATGTCATGATCCATAGTGTATTCAAGTTTATCCAATTCTGTAGGAAATTTTATCCCTACATTTACTTATTTTGACCTGGTACTTAAATATTAAGAATATAAATTCAAACAATGAAATTAATTAATATAAGAGCTATTAGAGTAAAAATGTTCAGAAATCATTTACTGTAATAACTTTTAAAAACTGAAGTCCAATTGCTGATAGTGATTTAGCTCTAATAAAAAGCCAACGCGAATGTCAAGTTCTTTTCATGGTGAATAGCCTTGACAATGCCTATTTTCAGAATCAGGATTCATAGTATATCCTTTACAGAAATTCTAATAGTTTTTATGTAGCAATATCATAGAAATATAATGAAAACTGTAAGGGAAAAAGTGATTTTCAATTATTCTCTTGAAATTAAAGTGTTTGTGACTTTTGTGTGGTGTGCATTAATCACCCATAAGTCTCTGTTGAATGGATGGATGTCCGTATGTGAGAAGATGCTATTTTTTTCTTTTAAATGACACAGACGAAATTCCAAATAAATTTGTAAAACTACATACTTGCATATACAATATGCAAGTTTTAAAAAAAAAGCTTCTAAAACATACTAAAAAGGTCAGTTTTACTGTTTTAAATAATAACTGGAAAATCCTTCTAAATGAATACGTTATAGAGGGTTTAAGTTGAACAGAGACAAGTTTATCAATGAGAATTAGAAATAAAACAATTCAATATATACATCTGAAAGGGTCCCTTGGTCATGGGTCTTATATATAACACAGAACCTGAAGGGACTGAGAATGGAAGTGGTGATCGTAACCTTGCTCTTTGAAATGAGGCTCTTGGGAGGTTAATTCATAAGAGATGTATATTTTCTATGAAATATTAGAGTGAGTATGCTTTTGGAAATTCCTATGAAGAAAGGCATCCCCTAAACAGTACTCCTTATAACAAGAAAATATAACATAAAATGTTATATTTAAGAAATGTAGTACAGGAGTTTACTTCAGAGTTGCTAAATAGTTTTCTCCTGCAATCCTGTTTTTAAATGTTATATGTTTTATAAGACTGGGTGGTTTTGAGGTGGATGATTTTGAGTCACAACTTAGATGTTTGCAATATTCCAGTTCCACCCCTGGAATTTTCTGTGAGCTTCTAGGGAAAATAATTTTGGGACAGCTTGGGGAAGTTTAGATTAAATTAAATCACATGCTGAGGAAAACAAAATAAACTAATATCCATGAGGCCAAACTAAGCCACCGTGTGATCTTATCTTATCACTGAGGAAGACCCAAGTCTTAAGACTACACAACCTTGTTTAACAAGGGAACTGGGTCCAGAGAACTCATAGCTATCTGCTATCTCTACATTTCAGCAAAATCAAAACCAAGGTCTGAATATGGTTTTTTTTTTTCAGATTCACAGTCAACATTTAATCTTAGTAAAATAGATAACTTATTTTTAAAAATTGACTAATTTAACTTTGCTTTAATATCTTTTGAAGAAGACGTGCTAGAATTGTGAGCATTATGATTATTTTAAATACAGGATTTTTAGAAAGATTTTGCCAAAAAATGTAGTTTTAATTTTGTTTCCTTTTTTCCTTAATCGTATTTGTGAGGAAAAAAAACTTCCAAAACTTTAAAAATTCTATGTGGTCCCAAACAACCTCTCCTCTTTCATATATTAATGCAACTGAATGTATTAGTCAATAAATCTTTGGTCAGTTTCTATTTTCTTTTAAAATCTGTTCAACAACTTTTTATTTCTTATATCACCTGCTTCTTCCATAAAATGCCATTTCACTTCATCTTTGTTTCTTCTTCCAATTTTTCTTAATGTGACCCTTTTTGAAGCTCTTCAAGTTGAAAACATTTTTGTAAGTTTATACATGGCCTGGTTTGGTTTGACCCTTGTGGCTAGTGACAAGGATGATTCCTTTTAAATAGATCTACTATGTCTTGAAGTTTTTGGGTGTTTTTTTTTTTTTTTTCTTTTTGAGATTCTGTTTGCTGAAGTATGTTAATATGAGTGGACAAAAAAAATGTGATATTTCACAATGACTACTACACTGCTGAAAAAGAGGGGTAAACATGAATGATCTGTACAGAAACGGAGGGACCTTGAGCTCAGAGTGTTAAGGGGAGTAAGCCAGACACACAAGTTTGAATGTCACATGGTTTCTCTTGTAGGAGAAACACAAACTGTAAGTAAGGAACAAAATAAAAGACATGGGAAACAGAGAGATAGTTCTTTTGCAAACAGGAAGGAGAGTAAGAAACAGGGGTGGTGGTGGGGAGAATGAGAATGGGGATGAAAAAGTAGAGTTGTGTACCAGGATCACTTCCCCATGGGGAATGTGATAGTTATGTAATGGAATCGTTCGCTAATAAATAATGAAATTTAAAAAAATTGGTCAGTGCAGTTTTTGACAGGAAATACCCGCTTCATTTGATAGTAAGGTAAAAACTGGGTACTTTCAGGTCTTCTGCATGGAGCAGATCAGACCATTTGCTCTGAATGCCAATGTCTTTTAAAAATGGATGCTTCCTCTTTAAACATATATACTCGAAAGTTCAAATTTAGTTTAAAAGGGGAACATGATGAACTTCAATGCCACATTCTGACTCCAAAACATATTATTTGTAGGTTAAATGAACTCTTTTTAAGAATTTTCCAGATCTTTGTAATAAATTGACATTCTTGAACATTTTTTTTTTCTCCAACTCATTAAATACTTTCCTTCCTCTGTTTGTTTCTCCATTCTTGGATCTTGCTAAAGTTTGACTTGGCAAAGAAAACTTAGCAACAACAATTTCTTTTCCATCTAATAAATTCTTCTCAGAATTCAGCCCAAGTAACTGGCTTTGAAAACTAGTTAAGTACTGTTTTTCTCAGTTTAGGTAAAATCTCTGCTCAACTCTGTGAACACTACAAGGAAAACATTCTTCACTTGACATGTCTGCAATCCAGTTACTCTGAAGGCTGAAGCCAAAAGATCTCAATCTTGGGAGACTGTGACCAGCAGAGGCAATTTATTGAGATCCTGTTTTTTATTTTTAATGAACAGAAGCTCAGCCAAAAGCAAACAAGAATCTCAGTGGTAGAATACCTCTGAGTTCAATCGCTAGAACAGGGAAGGATGTGGAACGGGGAATGAAAGCTAACTCATTAGGACGAGATGCTCCAACACTGTCTCATTGTGTTCACGGGCTCAGTATGTTTTGACCTATGAACTGAGGGCTTAGTTCTTAAGGCCCTTTATTTTGTTTTCAAAATAATATTGAGAAGGAATCACTTGGAGATTAGAGATTATCTATGTGCAGTTGAACAGTATTTAGTCACTGATTTCTAGGTAATGGGTAAGAGCAATTAAATTTTGGTCAACAAGTATGACTTCGTTTTTGTTTTAAGATACTAATAAGTACAATAATAATTTATAAGCATATGATCAAAATCAAGCACATTTTTCTAGTATGACCTCAGATCAACACCTTATTAAAATTATATTTGATATTTCGCTTTAAAGAACATCAAACACTGAACATATTTTGAAGCTTCAAAGACTCATTTATCCTGTAATCACACTGGGCAACCTTTTCACTTGGCTGTTATGTATAATTTTAGAAAATGGGTTTTGGAGCTTTGAGTTTAGGAAAAGCAATAACGTACTCCTCCAGGTCTTATTTTGAAATTACTTTCAATCATTACAGTAAAGAAATGAACATTTAGTTTCTTAAAAAAATGATCTCTATCTCCTTTGCTTCATCGATGGCATGCGATTCCTTATTGTGACATATTGGGAGAAGGCAAGCAGGTCTGATCTGGCTTTATTTTTTAAATTTTTTTTTTCTGGCTCGTTTTAAAGAAACTGAAATGCAAAAAAAATGCATACTAACGCAGCATGACTTTTATCACCATCCCTGCTGTGCAGCACATTCATTTCTGACGTTTTTGATGGAGAAATTATTGAATTATCTGAAATACGTGTTCACCTAAGTGATACTGGGAACATAACTGTATATTATCGTGAAGATTCTGACAATCACGCTCCGCTGAAGGGCTGGTTGAAGGACTAATGTCACGAACAAATGGTGGGATTCGTGCTTTGAAAATAAAAATAGCTAGTGTAAAGCTGATTAGAATTGGAGCTAGGGAATTCAGTGAATACACGCTACTATGTGCCTTAGTGCTTTCACCTGGATTGTCTCTCAGGAAACAGTATGACCTTATAGGCAAATCTGTAGGTTTTCATCATTCAAAACCAATTTTGTCAATATTTCGTTAGCACTGGTCCTAAATACAGGTGGTTAAAGAAAAGATTTGCCTGGTCTGCGTGTGAAGAAGCCCAGATCTAATTTCCAATTTTCCCGATTTCAGGGAAATCATACTGTTTAAATCATGTTGCGGAGCAATCCTGGTGCGGCTCTGTCTTTCTGACCCGTGCAATGCAGATGTCTATTGGCAACATAAAATTTCAAACGGTACATCTGCAGCCAAAGAAAACTGAATCACTTTGCATTGAAGTTTTGAAAAATAGAAAGCTCTAATTAGAAGCAAGCAATACCACCACTGGACAGACAGGTCACGACACTGCGTTCACAAGATGCAGCCCCACTCACTGTAGCAGGCCCTAAATCCTACCCCTAAATCTTAATACTTTCGGTTCCATATACGTTGTAACCTTCTCTATAGGTTGCTAAATTCTGGGTATTCTGCGAGGAAGTTGGGTTAAAAGTCTGTGCACTCTTTGCCACCTTCATTCTCTTCGCTTCTGCCCTGGACTTGTAACAGAACTCTATCAAAGCCACCAGCATTGCCAAGCCCAAGCCGCCAACTAGAATGTAGAAGACGCCAGCTACGTTGCTCAGGCTCAAGGCACTCGTCTTGTCCTAGGAGGGATAAAGACACTTCAGTTAACTGTGGAAATGTCACATCCAAAATGTAAAAGAACACATGAACTTCAAGTAGTCAGTAAAAGCAATGCTTAGTTTAACCAGAAATTGTTTACAAGTGTAAGTCACTGATGTAGGCTTATGGGTTTAAGGTTAAAGCTTATAGCTCTCAGGAGAAGTGAAATTATGATTACCAATAAATTTACGCAATTACATTCAATAAAGTCAGTAGCATCTTATCATTAAATATGTCATGAAAACCACTCCACTTAGTCATAAAGTAGGATTTGTATATGTATATGGGGTGCCAGAAGAGGGTTATTAGAGAGTTTGAAAATAACCTGTTTAAAATCTAATTACATGGAAAAGGGGACCTCTTTTGGCATTGTTTCCTTTGAAACATAATGTTAATGTACAAGATATCTCTTGAATAAATTTATGTACACATTTTGTACTTAAGGAGCTAGGGGTTTTTCAGCCAGTAGTTCCACATATTGTTCATAATTACTTTACCATGTGTATACAAAGAAGTACTATGGTGCATGCCTTAGGTTCTTTCAGTTATATCATTATGGGGAATCTCATGAAAAATCTCATTTTGCATATTATTATTTTGCATACTGTTATTATAACTACTTAGAAATGATAATATATGCATAAAACCTAGGTAAATTTTTAAAGGTAACTTTTAAAAATATGCAAATTACCATGGTCAATTGAGAAATAAGTTATTTATACATGGACAAATTTATAACTTAGCTAATGTAAAAATACAGCTCCATTCACACTTAAAAATGCTTCATCAATTGATATTTTAGAATGCTTCATCAATTGATATTTTAGACATACTCTTTGAGTTTACTACACATACAATAAATCTAGAGGTAGTCAAGCATATGCTAAGAAGATATTAAAATTATAATAAAAGTTAGGAATGTTTTCACAAATTATAAATATGTTTATGACATAGTATTATTCCAACATGTATTTTGGTGGAGGATACTTCATAGCTGTCATTTTCTCAACAATTTTGTACAAAATATGATTCAGAAGTTTAAGTACTTTGATTAGGAGAGGGGCTAATTCAACAGATGACATATATAGTGTCTACTTAGTCATATCAACTGAGTGGGCCAAAAATTTTACAGTAACTTAATTCTTAAAATAATTACTCATTAAATACTTGTGTTTTTGTTTCCATCAGGTTTTAAGATAATTGTTTCATAATCTGGCCAAGATCATTTCATTCCACTCTGGTTCAAAGGCAGTCAGAAGTGATTAAAATCAAAGGATTAAAAGACAATCTTGAGAATGGATTAATTACCTAGGCATTGTCTCCTCCAATTTATTGAGGGTCTTTTATTGAAGCCACTTACTTAATGTCTTAGGACAACCAATAATGTAAGGATAACCTACATTAAAAAAGTAGGTTGTCTTCTTTCTGGAAGAAAGTGTTTTCCAAATGAGTGTTTTCCGAGAATCAACTATGGCTTTCCTCCATGGTTAATATTAATATGCGTAGATATTTTGAGCCAATGACAAACTTGTTACAGTTTTTCCTTTAGAACAAGATATAAATGTGTTCAGCCAAATTGGATCTATAGGTTTCTGCATTGTTCTAAAATGAATTTCTTAATAGAATATCCTAGAACTTGCGGACATTGTTGTAAGCATTGGCTCACTAAAATCATGTTGACTAGGGGAATTCAGTTGGAAAGTTTGTTCTGTTTATCTCTCGGCACAGGAATAGAGCAGAGCCTCTTCAAACTAAAGTGGAATGCTTGGCAATCTGGCGACAAAAGACTGAACTTCTGAATAAACGTTTATTTAATATTTAGCGTCTTTTATTTTCTGGATGATTCCTAGCTAATTTCTCGTTTCCTGATTTGAGGATATATTAGTTCTTGAAGTAATAAATTTCATGGTCTTTATCTCCCAAACAAACAAAAACATTTATTAGTGGTACGTGAGTTTGAGAATAATATATAGAATTTTGTTATTTTATATATTTTTGCTGTTAATTTAAGTTTATTTAAAAGGCTTAATTTCAGGGAGCAGGTAGTATAGTCATTTCCTGAAAATATGGTCCCTGTGGTTGCAATGTTTGGCATTAGCTTCTGATTTAGACAGTGGCTGGGTGTACAAAAGGTGTTCAGTTTTAAGGTTTCCATATTTGACATTTGCTCCCATGTACTATTTTGAGAACACAAGAAGAGGCCCCGAACTGCAGCGACTGACCTTGCTTCCCGAGTCCTTGGGTCCACATTCACCTTTATCGTACCACCATTTGTTTTTCAGCTTGTCTAAGACGCCTGCCTCACTGAGTTTCAAAACGGCAAGGTTTACAGGAGTTCTTCACGTGGAAAATAACATAAATAACATTATATATGTTATTTTATGTTATTCAAGTAAAACCACATTAGAATCGCATGGCAAAGTGACAGAGCAGAGGCCACAGTAGGTGCTATGTCTTGTACCATAGGCCCAGGCTTAGAATCAGACATAAAACTGGGACCTGCTCCATCGCTTTAGGTAACAGGCACATACTGCTAGGGAGGATTTTAAATAAAATGTATGCAATTACTGTGAATCCAAAACTATTGGCCTGGTTGGGTTGCTTGAACATTTATAATATTCCCCATGCAAATGCAGTAGTTCTAGAAATTGCTTTCTTTTGTCTTTCAAAATAAACACCAGTGGCTGCAGGTCGATAGAGACTTCTTGAATGCTAAATAGGACTGGTCTCTCTTCTTGTATGCATTATAACTCAGCTCATGGGATTTTGCTTTATGTTCTTATATTGTGTGCAAAGTGTCCGTCAATATATTGACTCTGAAACTACTCTAATTCAGGACATAATTGAGAGTGGAGAGTGATTCCAGTGTCACGGAGCAAGGTCACCTCATACAGAGAAATGTCTTCATAAGGCAAATGCATAAATTATTGATTTAAAGTACAGTATAGGCCCAGGCTGATATTTTCTTTCTGAGTTGAAGTTTTTAACCTAAATACTACTACTAGGAGCAATGTCCATCTAAAATCTCCTATTCATGTACTCAAAGTATAAGATGAAGTCATCATAATTACTCTATAAATTATTACCAAAAAACAAATGATAGATTAGAGATAACTAAAACTTCTCTGGACAGAAGAGCCTGCCTGCATATAAAGTCCTTTTCTTTCTCATCTTCCATTCCTCAGTATTCAATATTGTGCAAGGAGTCTCAAAGAATGTCAGCTATCAACTAACATCAGTATTTTGAGTAACGTAAAAATTCTTCCCGTTTCCACTCCTAGATAATAATATGAAAGCTAAGAAGATAGACAGGAAACAGTAAGTCCTAGATCTTTTGTTGTGGCTGTCATTTTGGTTGGCTGGCTTCTGTTTCATTTTGTTGGAGATAGAATGATGCCTCCGGATGTTTTCAAGGCTGCTGGCCATTTTGCCTGGCTCTATCATCTAGTGGCTCATTCTTAGGAAACACGGAATGTGTTTGGTGAAACAAAGCAGGCATTTATTTGATGACTAGGATATTCGTTCCACCAATCCTTCTACACAAGTAGGTAATGCATTAATAAGGATGGCGATGCTGATAACTAACATTTACTTGACACGTGTGTGTTACAGGCACTGTTAAAACACTGTACATCTTTACAACTATCACTCAGATTTTATAAATGAGGAAACCACAGCACGCTAAACTTAGTTCCACAGCTAGTGAAGCAAGAGCTCAATCAGGCTTTGTGTGAGTTCATAGCGCGTACAATTGAAAATGCGTCCTCACACTTGGGCAATGGAGTTTCTGATTGAGTTTCCTGATTAAAAGGAAACTAAAAAAATCACTTTTTCATGTTGCTTTTGAATAAAAATATTTCTAGTGTAAGAGTAAGTTTTTCATTTTGTTTCTACAGTTTCTGAATACAGTTTGAATGTTGTGTCAATGTTAGGACACCTTAGTATGGCCAAGGCTCATGATTCCATTTAAACAGTAGTAGGTGTGTGCCACATTCCCAGAATACTAAACTGGTTTTTGTTTAAAAATCTGCGCTAAGCCTACGTAACACTACTCAAAGCTCTTTTTGAATATCAGTGGTTAACGGGGATGTTAAGATGAACCAAGTCACTTCAGGTTTTACCGTCTGTTTTTCTCCTATTCCGCATGCAACATCCCCTCCACTTAGGAAATAATTGCTACAGCATCACTCCTGTGGGCTGTGTGCTTCCCTGTGAACATCTTAGGAGCAACAGCTATAGCTCATCTTTGTAAAACAGTATTCATCAGGATCAGACCCAGATGAATGATCTGTAACGTGGTCAAGTTTAAATTACCGTACTTTGTTTAGAATGTACCTTTCCTTTTAATTCATACCATGAAGGTTCTTTCACTGGTTTTTGAGCCCAGGCTCTCTATGTGGCCCAGGCTGGCCTGTAGCTCCTGGGCTCAAGCAACCCAGATCCCAGGCTCCTGAGTAACAGACTATGAGCTTTTGGGTCCCCAGGCGAGCTTGCCAAAGCCTTTAAACATATACATGGGTAAACTTTATTAGGCCATACTGCATTTCTTGAATAAGGTAGGCTGAAAGGAGGCTCCAGGGCTGCAGAGAGGAGGAAAATGAAAGCAGAGAGATTCATGTTTCTTCTAAAAAGGACAGTTGAAGACAAAATGAGTCTAAAGATTGCCTCTGGCTTATCTCTCTCCACCCCTGGCCTCTCTATCCCTTTTGCTCCTTTGCTCTAGTGGTTTTGTTTTATAGAGTACGATTACAAATTGGCATTTTTGAAGCAAAATCTTCACTGCCAGCCATTCTCAATAGTCAGCGCCATAACTCTGTCGAGCAAAGACTTCATTACTGGGAGGGCCTTCTCTGGGGGGTCGTCTTTCCTAGTGGTTTCAGATCGCGTTTTTTCTTGTTTCTGGCTGTGTTTTCTACACTTATCCTTTGTGCTAATTTCTATGTGAGTTTGTTCTAGTGAGTTCTTCACTGTACTTGGAAATTTTGTCAGGGTCTATAAGCATCAAATCATTGTAGTACAAATACAGTTTCAAATAGTCCATTTTTCTTTATATTTCATACTTCATTCTCTCACTATGTGTGTGTGTATATTTATTTATTTATTTATTTATTTATTTATGGGGAAGACTGTCTTGTGTGTTTGTTTTGAGGTAGAATCTCAATATATTACCTAGACTAGTCTTTTTATTTATTTATTTATTTTGTACTGGGGATCGAACTCAGGACCTTCTGCTTGCCAGGCAGGTGCTTATGCCACTGAGCTATATCCCCAGTCTATAAAAATAATTTTGTAAGTATAATCAGCAAATAAAGTGTTCCCTAGGAATTATTTTTCATAACACACTCCTTTGAAGAAGTCAATTCATTAATTGTGTATTTACATAGTGACATAACATACTTTGTATTATTTATATTTAGACTAAGCCATTTCAGATTAAGCCAAGTGGAAATTATGGTTTCAACATGCATTACATATTTTTAAGGTGACTCATTGTTAATTAATAAATTTCTGTTACTTTACTCACAAGAGTCAGTATGAATTTGCCATGACTTTAAAAAACCCCACTACACAGCAATCCTATTAACACCATCAAAGAGTGAGTTTTCAAATAACTAAATTTAAAATTCCCTGTCGTGCGTCTTTTCACTTAGTTTTTTTCTCTTTCAAGATGGAAGTCCCTTTCCTTCACGCCCCCCAGGAAGCTTTCCTGGCTGAGGAATGCTGTGGTGAGAACTTCTGAGTGCTGGGAAGGCTGTGGGGAGATCGGGGTGCTAACTGTCGCCCAGCCCTGGAGTGCGGCCTGCGGCGGGGAAGCCGTCCCAGGACTGTGACTGGGGCAGCTGTTCCTTATATTAAGCCATAAGTTCCTTGAGGGAAAAGACAGCGAGCGAGACTCTTTTCCACCACAGGTAGTGGCACATCTCGCTCTGAAGGCTCAAGACTGATCATTTCTGCTGAACGGAAGGCTGGAGGTGTGTGTCATCCCTCCAGCTATCCTGTCACAATTCTGCGCGCAGCAGGTGTACCGACTGGCTCCTTGTGGCAACCTTTCCATGTGTGGTTCAAGTTTCTATTTTTTCCTCTTCATTACATGAAACACTGCTGGAAAAATCAGGGTTCTACAGTCAAGATGCTGTATTTTACGATCAAATCAGCTGGGATTTGGCAGGCTTGTGTTGAGGTCGCTGTGTGTTTCCTTCCTATACTGGATTGCTAGCGCTTGTCTCTTCTGCCCTGGCTTTACACTAGCGAAGGCTCAGGCTAGCTGCAATTCTCAATGGTATTTTTCTCCTTTTTATTTTACTTATTTTGAGGAAGATCAGGAAAAATGAGAGGAAAAGGCAAGGTTAAAAAGAAAATCAGATGCCTCAAGAAGGTATAAAATAAAAATGAAAAAGCAACAATTGCCTCCTGGTAATAACTTTGAACTAAACTGGGTCAGCGCATTTATATCACCTTTTCTTATAAATTCAGAGTATAGCATTATTGGATTTAGATGGAAACAACCTGTTCTCTTGGTGATAAGCCAGACATACCTAGACAATCTACTAGAATTTTGCTTTTAGTAGGAAAACAAAATTCCCCAAGAGAAAATAGAATGCGCTGTAATTTAACTTAAGGTGAATATTTTATGCTATTTTGTAACATCTTAGAAACCTACTTCTTAAGACTTGAAATACATTTTTAGGATTGGATTTTCTACTGCAAATGAAAATATGTTCTACATACCTGAAAGAATAAGCAGCTTGATTTTGGAAAGACACGGCTAGAGTCACAATTTTTCTTTTGGACAATAAATATTTACTAAGCAGACATATCAAACAGGGTGCTGAATACAAAGCTGAGAAAACTTGGCTGAGTTGCTCACCTTTCCTTTAAATCAATTAAAATTGTTTTTTTTTTTTGCATAGATTCTTTCAATATATGTGCATAACCTTCCTGTTTGTTTTCTCTAGAAAGCATGCTAACATGACTTCATTACTTACAGAAAATTTTATCTGTAAAATATTGTTATTCCCTTATCTGTAGTAAAAATAAAAATTTGCAAACAAAAATTTTCTCATGATCTAGAATATGTTTTTATTTTCCTAGTGTTACCATAGAGGGTTTTATGATAATTCTAATTTTCACAGAAGCATATAGGATTATTAGTGTTAATTCAAATAATTGTATGTGTATGTATACATATATTTATTTATATGTTTACAGAACCTATATGGAAATTCTAGGCAAGTTGAGGACCCAAGGGGAAAATGAATATTCCTTAAGATGGTTAAGTGTGGTTTGTTCCCACCAAAATCCAGGGTTGGGCTTACTGTCCCAGTGCAAAGCACAGG